ATTGCTTCCCTTCATGCATGTTCCATCTTGGAGGACCCTTGTTCCAGTTTTAGAGAGTGGAAAATAGAAGCTTAAGCACTTAAAATTTGTTCAACAAGAAATAGAAAGACAGGCATCTGAACTCAGGAACACTTCTATTTTTATGTATTGCTATTTATATTAAAATTATCGACAGATCTCAGAAGCTACAGTGCAAATCTCTTCGTAGTTTTTTTGGACGATGGAGAAGCAAGTGGCTGAAGTCAATTCTTGACTGTGGAAGAACTACAAATTGAGTTTCAAAAGCAGGCATGGACTGATGATTGCTTTCTATGTGGAGAGCTGGTGACCCAGGACTGCCGGTATTGGCCGGTATCGCTGTGTTCTTCTGATCTTCTGGCCTTTGCTGAATTTCCCACAGACAAACACACTACTCTGAACAGACCCAAGAATTCACTACAAATATTTTATATTCAGCTGCAGGACCTGCAAACGTATTTGGATCCCAAAGCTGAATAGACAGACCTCACTCGCTAACTTGTGGCTACTTACCCCATTCAATGACTTTTACAACTGACCACCAACAGAAACCTTCCACTTTCATATGAAAACCCCTTCCTTCCTCAGAGAAAAAAGCTGAATGTAGTGCAACATTAGTGAGAAAAAACTACAAAATCAGCAAGGTAATAGTTCAACATATAAAGAAAGAAGAAATGGCTTCAGACTTACCTTACCCACCAAGGCAAAGAAGGTAAGAGAAATGGATGGAAGAGCCTTGAGTTGCTCAGGTTTTTATACCGAGTCCCAGGTTGCCCAACAACTTGGGACTTTCTTTGTGCATGATTATTTATGAGCCACTACTGATTACATGGTTTTTTGCCTCAGTATTTGTGTTTATTACTGCTTCACTTCCTTATCTTGTGGCATGTATATCTGACCACAAGCTTCTTTCATCTTAAAATATTCTGGGCCAAGTTAATTTCTGGGAACACTAGAATGATTAATTCAGCAGAATTTATTCTTCCTTCAAAACTCTTTTGGATCTGCCTGGTGTCATTAAAGGAGATTAAGCATAATTTACATAACGCAGTCCCTTGTACCCTCTGGCTGAGATATAACTAGAAAAACACTGAAGATACTGCTACTTTGACATTGAAGAGGAAACAAAAAAAGTATTAGAATCCAGTCTAACAAAATTAGATCAAATGATAGCACTTCTGTGGAAGAGTCTGAAGCACAAATCTTGTTGATATAGGATCTTTGCTGGCTGTCTCTAATTCTGTGGCTGATCTCTTAGGAGTTCTTTAGCTAAAGAATCCACAAATCCACTTTTATTCTTCTCTCAGACCTCAAAATATCAGCAGCTGCTTTTAGGTTAACTTCCACATGTAGAAATATGATGCATTGCTCGGTGACATTTGTTCTCGGTGAAGAGGGGTGCAGAAGATAAGGCTGTGCAAAACTCAGCTGTGGAGGTGGAAGTCACGTACAAGAATAAAAACATTCATTTCTCCAACTGTCCCTGCAGTGTCTGGTACAGACTTGTTATATATATCTCAATGGTAGCCAGATGGAAAAGTGTCACAACTATACAAAATGTCAATAATTTCTTCGCCTGCAGTCAAATTTTCTGTCACTTTACAGCAGTCTCTGGGTTGCACAATGAAACTGAGCCTCTTCTGTAGAGGGTCTTGCAGGAGAAATAGTAAAGGGGTGAAATACCCAAGCAATCCTAGACACAGGGATTAGTACTGAGGCTTTTGCTCTCCTAGCACTTTAACTACTGAGACATGTAAATCACCTCTAAATTAGTGTCTTTGTGAAGATCCCCTGGGAACAGAAACTTGTTTGGCTTGGTCGTAGGTTCCTGAGAACTTCAAAGTTTATCAGAAGCATTTATTAAAGTGCTAGGCACGCAAAGTAGCATATTATGTGCAAATTTAAGATATATGACCCATATTTGAATTCCCCTATCACTTCTGTAACGACATGTTATTAAGATTTGGGAGTGCAGGTCAGTCACTGGGTTCTAAATTTTATGTCACTGTTCCTGGCTGCAGGAATTGCAGCTCTTTTATTTTTAATTAAAAAATAGCTCAAGGTTTTGGTTTAAGCCATCTCATATTTCAAGTAGATTCTCCAATAAATTGCCCTAGCGTTTTTTAGTTTCACCAACCCCGTCCATTCCACAGTACTTCTCCATCTTTTAAGGGCCTAGCAGGCTTTTTGAAAAATCACGTTCTCCATAGCGACTGGCATCTATCAGCTATTTGAGGAATTAGTTTGGATAACAGTATCAATAGATTATTTTCATCAATTTTTTTTATTCTTCCTTCATCCAAGCTCTTCTTGGAAAACACAAAATACTTTTAAAAATCAGGCTATGAGGTTAAAAAAAGGATCTAGCAACATTTTCAGAGATACCTGCAGCCTTCCTTGAAAATAATCGTTGTTCTAACTCCAGCCACTTGATTCTACAGTCAGGATGACTTCACGGCCTGATCTTTGAGACAAATTAGAGTGCATGAATCAGAAGTTCACAGCTTTCTTTGTATAATCAAAGACAGACCTAGACATTCAGATTATAATTAAAACTTTTTGTATAACACAAGAACATACTCCCAAGACAACTGTGAGTGACTAAATGCCTGGAAAAAAAACTTGATCAAGATGGAAACTGGAAGCTTACTCACTGTAATCCCATATAGGAAAGGTTTGGTGCAGTTGATTAGAAGAAAGCTTAATAGAGAATTGCAGGGGGGATTGCAAGAGTAGGAAGATATACTTTGTCATGAGAAATGTCGTTTTCTGTCCACCTGCATATGTTAAAGAAGCTTCACTGTAGTGCCTCAGCCATAACTCTTTCCAGCCACACCAATACTCTGGAACAGTAACTTCTCTGCTGTGGTAGAGATGCAGATTGACCTCCATAAGAAAAAGCTATTTTGCAACAATTGCACATGGATGACGACTTCTTTGGTATGCATCCCCTTTGATCAAGCAATAGCTTCAGTTGAGATGGCAAAAAATACATTACACATTTACCTCAGACCAGCCGTCTGCTGTATTTGAATATCAAACTGCTAACTTTCCATTCTCTTCTGTTGGGCACTAATAAAACCTACTCCTTGATATTATTAATTCTTTCATGGAATTGATGTACCTCCTTTAATTTAGCTCCACTAATGACTGCAGTCAACATAATTTTGTCAGCTTCTTTCCCTGGCTTTAATTACAGTTCAGCATCTGTCTGTACAGACTTAGACAAAGACTCCAAGAAAGAAATTTCGCAGATATCAGGCTGTGAGCTGTATCAGCTGACAGGACACTGAATCATCCAGAGCCTTCAGGCAGAACTTTTCAAACCTCCTTCCTTTGGGGACCAAAGCTCCCAATCTTTAAACACTGCTTTTATTACAACGCAGATGATCAAGGTAGAACAAAATAACACACGGCAAAGCTCACATCTAATAAGCACAGCAGGTCAGTTTATTAAGGCATCCTGAGAAGGGGTTAGAACTCAAAATCTTTTAATCTCTTTCTCCCAAAAGTTCTTCCCATGCCAGCAATTTCAAAAGGCCAATTCCCTTACAAAACCACCACAAAGCCTGCTCTTCCTCCCCTCCAAGACTTACCAGGGTCTGCTCTCAGCTGCCGAGAGGAGTTGCACCCCTCAGCAAGCTCTGGGCTGCATTCAAAGGGCTGTACCAGCTTGCTGCCTCTCTCCTACCGCCGCTGCGCTGAGGGAGCTCAGCTGTGCTCAGGATAAGCACAATCTTTCCCTTCTTTTAAAGGCATCTTCCTAAGTACCATAGGTAGGGTAAACAAAGCCACAATCTTCTTCCAGGTTGCCCAGGTAATAGCAAGTGTATCCTATTTGTGCAGCAAGATGAGAACAGATGAGCAGAGGCAGAGTTTCAGAAAAAGGTTTATTCCTATATTTTCTAGTGTTCCTCACACCCCTGTAGATTTTCTTGCTGCACCCCTCTGTCCTCTTTTCTGTATAGGTGCTCTTTTCTATTACATCTACAGAAGCATAAGCAGAAACAGTATTCTCCTCAGTGAGCTTTTCCCTGAAGTTGGGCTATTCCACTTCTCTTTGAAGGGCAGTTAATCCCCCTTCTCAAATCAGTTTATTGTCCCATCCTCATCCCACTTCAAAGATATTCCTCTCAAAACAAACATTGTCTCATAAAAGAGCAAGATTAAAATAGTTAAAGGGCCTTTTCCCCTCCATATACAGTAAGTAAAGGGCCTTCAAAGTGTAAACAGAAGCAAATCCCTTACTTTAAGCTTTCCTACTTCTGCAACAGCAGGAGGAACACCCATTGTAGGTGAACTTCATCTCTTCCTAGCCTTTGATAAATTGTCTCAGGCTGGATTTACCATGTAAAAAAAGAAAAAAATTTTCCACAACTGAGATCTGTCTCCTTCTCTGGCAATTGACATGAAGTTGTTTTTACAGTGTTTTCTGGAACTGATGACTCAAAAAGGGACATATTTCACCACACACAAGCTGGAAAAGGGGCTGGGAGAAGGAAGAAATACAGGTAGACTTGCAGTATGATGCAGCACGTATTTAATGAGGCTGAGGAATGGAAGGAAGCAATGTAAAGTGTAAGTAATACATTTCATCGTCCGCTAAGGACAGTACCCACTCATCCCTCCCACAGCGACACATTCAGCAAAATGAGATCTTCCTTCTTCATTGTTTAAGAGGACTGTAGTAATTCAGTCAGGCAGAAAAATTTCTAACCATTACATATTTTACCTAGTCATTGTCAAATACAAAAAAGCGTAAGAGAACAAGACATTTGATCAGAATTATAAAGTAAAGCTAACAAAAGTAAGACAAGCAGAGGCCTGATTTTAGCAGATGCCAAGCTCCCACAGCTCCATTAACTTCAGGTGGATTTGTGGGTGTCTAACATCACATCTGAAAATCATGGCCATGAGCTCAGTCTTGCGCCGGGTCGTGCTTCAGTGTTCCTGGTCATTTCTTCCTGCTTGCTCCTCACGCTTTAGCATGGCTCACTAAAGCCACTGCGGTAGGTGTTGTAGCGACCGTAGGGCCGGCTGTACCCACTGCCCAGGCCTGGATAGCCAAGGCTCCCCAATCCCAAGGAGCTGCCGGAGGAGATGGGAACTCCCTCGGAGCTGAGGGTGCTGCCAACAGCTGCAGAGGTGGTGGATCCCACAGCGGTGTTCTGAGGGAAGGAGCTGAGGATGGGTCCGGGCAGGGTCACCACCACGGGAGACGGCTGGATCACCACTGTCGAGTCCTGGCACTGCCTGACACAGGGCTCGTTGCAGCTATTTGCCAGGGGGGTAGGGCCACAGGAGATGGGAGGACACAGATCGTAGGAAGACATGTCTGTAGGACAGAGGGAAGTCTGAAATACAGGGAAGAAATTAAATCCAATACAAAAGGCTGTATTAAGTTTATGAAAATCAGAGAAGGCAATAACATATGTGAAAGTACCTAGAGAAGGTGGTCAAAGAGGTAACCAATAGACTCCATGCTAGGCAGTCTGAACACAGCATAGAGGTTTCTCTTCTTTGAGAGAAGATGTCTCTGCCCTGTGGCTGGCCTCTGAACCTGGTGCCTGTCAGAGTAAATTTACCCTAACCTTTACCAGCAAAGGCGTTTCCCATTCTTTGGTAGTTTCCCTTTGCACTGTCTCTCTGCAGAAGGTCCAAATGTCACTGTACCAGGAGATGGAGAACAGCAGTTGGAGCTTTCACCAGACACGGAAAGCAGCCCCGAGCTGAACATTGACGCATAACTGGGTTTAGTACCTTAGTGCTAGAACTTGGTCACGAATAGTCCAGCCAGGAGCATCTGCAGAACTATAGAGAGGTGTTTGAGAAGCATCCTTTGCTCCCAAATGTCATATGACCAGAGCAGACAAATCTGGAGTGCGAAGAAGGGTTAGTTTCTCTATCCAAGGTTTCTGCCTTGGTTTGCATACAATTTGTTGGAGTCTGCTGCGATCACTGCTCTTCTGCCTGTGGAAAACAGCACTTGGGGATGATCCTGCAACTCAGCACAAATTTTCTTTTTTTTTTTTTTTTTGGTTCGTCCCAGTTTCTGAAAGTGAAACTGTGTTTCCAGCTAGTTTCATGGCTAGCTACTCCCTTAGCGTTGGTCTCTAAAATGGAACATGAAGCTGCTTGTTTTGAGAGACAATATTGCCAGTATCCTCTTCAGGCCTGTCTCATTACGCCCTGCTTCACAAGTCAATAAAGCCTTTCTTTTTGATAGAAGTAAGCCTTTCTAATTTTCCTTCCCCAAAAGAAAAAAGGCTAGCAATATTTACAAAGAACTAAGAATAACCAAAAAAAAGCAGTCATCAAAGTACCAGTTTAGCATTTAAAAAGACACTGGGTAGATTCAGACTTACCTGTTCACCTGGGCGAGTAAGGCAAGAGAAGTGGATGGCAGAGTCGTGTGTTGTATAGGCTTTTATACCTTGTTCCAGACTGCCTGCAGACCAGGGACATATATTATCCATGAAATTAGTTAATGATCCATGCTTTTGCATGCAAAATCCACCAAACCAATCAACCTTATTTTTTTTCCTTTCAGAATCTCTTTTAGTATTGCTCCATGTTTTTCCCCTCCCCATATTACATTCACATTCCAATATAAAGCTTTCATCTTCACCAGTGTGCACCCACTTAATTGCTTGGAAGACTGCGGTGACTCGTTTGAATTACAGCAGTAATTATGTTGCCTCCTAAGGCAAATACACGCTTTATGTTTTATTTTAGTCATCAAGACACTGCTTAAGGGGAGCGTATGTGATGCACAGTCCTTATTCAAGACTTCGCTCCTTTAGGTGAATGATCAGTTAGCTCTGAGGTGTGGGCCTGGGCTCAATTCACAAGCATTTCCATTTCAAGGACTTAGCTTTATGACAAGACAAGATGTAGAATAGATATTCCCAAATTTTGCACTTCTGCACTATTTCAATCCCACACAAACACAGCTGAGAACAGCACCAAATTTCCATAAGTATTGCAAAGATTAAAGAAAATTAAGACCAGTGAGAACTGCTGACCAGAGACAGCAAAATGCATTTTAAAACTGCTTGGGCTAACCCATAGTTTTCCCAGTTTGTAAGAATACAGCTAATATAAACATATATATAGACTATAGACTACATTTCTTTATCCAGTCATAAATTTTAACTTTAATTTCTGTGTGAAAGTCAAACAATCACACTTTTAATGGAAGAGATTGAATGCTTGATCTTCTTACTTTGTGACATTTATTGACTGCCTCTAGTTCTCGATAGGATTTCTGTGCAGACTCTCATCTGAGGAACCACCATTATTCTTCCCTGAAATCTCAGCAAGTCACCAGGATGTGCAGCAATTTGCACGTCAAATGAAGTATGAGTGTACATGTCAAAAGTTGCTTTCAAGTATTGGTTCTGAGAGGCAGTGCTCTGCCTGAGCCAAACTGCAGCCTCAAGAAAAAATTACACCCAACAGTTCTCCATTATGTTTATCATTACATGATTGGTTTCACCTCTGCAGCCTGCAGTGGCCTGCCCTGGCTGCACTCCAACCTGCTGGAATTACTGGCACAGACAGAAAGTATGCAAAAAGCAGGGATCAGGTCTCTCCTCTTAGCAGCACTGTCCCTCAACAAGAGGTACAAGTTAACTCTAAATGAAGAGTGTCTCTGTACATAGGCTGGTCTTGGTCCTCAGAAGAACAAAGGACTTCAAAGTTCAGAACAGCTTCTCACTAATGGCTCAAACATGCAAACTTTCATGCTGCCTAATGTCCAAGGTACACGACAAGATCTCAGCATCACCTGGCTAATCACCTAATTTCAAAGTGTGTGAGTCAAGATCACTCAAAGGACTTTGCAAACTAATTCATAGTAAACACCTTCAGAAACTTTAATTATTTTATTCAAAATTTTCATAACTGAGTTTAAAAAATAAGCCAAACCTTCATCTTCCCTAAAATCTTATGACTCTGTATATTTTAATGATTCTCCACAAGAAAATTCTCCTCTCCTTTTCCATAAAAAAACAGTCTTTTTTCTTCCCTTTCCTCAAAATCTCTACTATCCAACATACTACCTATCAGGTTCTTACATATTTAAAAAAATTATTTCCCTATGGTAGGTGAAGGCTATCATTCACCTGTAGAATTCATTTCCCCTTGATCTGTAAAATGAGATAGCCAAGGAATGCCAACTTTATCTCCTTCTTCCCTCTAGGGAGGTAAATATTTTTTCTTGGAGGGTATATAATATTTTAGAAACAGACTCATTAGCCTGGAAATATTTTAATTGATATTCTGCAATTTAGTCTCATTAGGGCCTAGAGTTCACCCAAAAGGTTGAGAGCCTTTGGATCTTGCTTTTTGAGATTACTAAGGCTGGTGAACCAGGACATCACACCTCTCCCTCATGGGTTGGTAATGGAGTTTCACATTCCACACACTCATTTGATACCCTTTGCGTAACAACAGAGTGCTCCCATGACAGGCTGCTGAACTGCCAAGTTGCCAAAGAGCTGACAAATTATTTACATGAACTGAAATTTGTATCATCTTTATGTCGACTTCAGAGGCTGGAGTGTAATAGTAGAAGGCATTCAAAGGATCCATAGGTCTCCGAGATGAAAGCAGCTTTGAGGAAGGCTTTTCATCTTAGGCTAGGAAGAGACTAGACTGGTACATAAACTACAAGCAATTTAACTACTGGGGACATTTTAACTATTGGGGACAATTTAACCAGCTGCAACAGAATTTATAGAACTGGGATCATCTGAATGCTACAAACCTTCCCAGCATGAGAATCTCTTCTGTTTTCCCCTGATATCTATTTTTTTGGTAGCTGTTGCAAACCTGGTTTAAATCTCAGGTCCTTACTTTTAGTAAAAACAAGTGTGAATCAGAACAGGATTCCTTAAAACAAATATCATTACATGCTAAATTAGATACCCTGCCATTCTGTTAGATCATAAAATGCTTCCAACCTGGAGAATAATTTCTTGGCAGAGATGCAGAAAGCCAAGTATTACGATGAGTCGGTGTGGAATCAATATGCATTTCAGCTGCAAAATTAAAAAATTTTTTGATCTGGAGCGCTAAACGTATGTTCTTCTCTTCTTAGTGGCCCTGGTAGTACTCACACCATGTTTCTGCCTGTAGTGATGATCTAGGCCATGATGAATTTCACCCAGAAAAAGTTTCAAAAGAAGGTATGCAGGACGGGAAAAAATAGCAGAAGACTGCAGATATGATAACAGCATAAATTTAATCATACCAAAGAGTGGGCTAAAATACTGCAAAGCAACAGGTTTCAGTAAGGGAAGAAAAGCATGTCTCACAGTGATGTATTCCACATACAGAACTCTGCTTTCAGTGTAGCATTGCACCTTGACAATCAAGTCCCTTCTACCGTCTAAATTAGAAGTTTTACACCAGGAGGTATCAAATACAGTGATGCGCGGTAGACCTACATACTTGAATAGAAATATAAAGTAGTATAACAGGAGTAGGGGCCTCCTTTTAAGGAATGACAAACTCCCACATCTTCACTAACTTCAGGTGGAGTAGTGGGTGTCTAAGATCACATCTGAAAACCATGGCCATGAGCTCAGTCCTGTGTCAGGTCGTGCTGCAACGTTCCCGGTCGTTTCTTCCTGCTTGCTCCTCACGCTTTAGCATAGCCCATGGAAACCACTGCAGTAGGAGTTTTAGCAATGGTAGGGCCAGCTGTACCCACTACCCAGGCCTGGGTAGCCAAAGCTCCCAAGTCCTGAGGAGCTACCAGAGGAGATGGGCACTCCCTTGGCACTGAGTGCACTCCCAATGACTGCAGATGCGGAGGATCCCACAGTGGTGTTCTGAGGGAAGGAGCTGAGGATGGGTCCGGGCAGGGTCACCACCACGGGAGACGGCTGGATCACCACTGTCGAGTCCTGGCACTGCCTGACACAGGGCTCGTTGCAGCTGTTTGCCAGGGGGGTAGGGCCACAGGAGGTGGGAGGACACAGGTCATAGCAGGACATGTTCGTGGGATGGAGGTAAGCCTGAAACACAGCACCAGATTTGAATGCACTGTAGCAGTCGTATTGCACTTACATTTACTCAGCTCAGGTATCAGGACAACAGGAACTTCCCAGGAATCCTTTTAGGATTTGAGAAGGGAGTGAAATGAGAAGGAAACAGATTTCTTAAATATGGTGCAAGAAGGTGGAGCTTGAAATAATCCTCTCTCAGTTATTGGTGATCCAGTGGAATAACTGGCAGCAGAACAAAGGACACTTGCCTGTATCATTAATTTTAGTATTTTGCTTGGCTGTATGTCGGGAAAGGCACTACTGATATCCAGCTTCAG